CATTCATCAAACAGTAATGTTATATGAGACAAAATGGATTTATAAGAACAAGTCTGATGAGTTAGGGAATGTAATTAGAAATAAGGCTAGGCTGTTGGTTAAGGATACTCTCAACTTAAAGGTGTTGATTTTGATGAAACCTTCGCTCATGTTGCTTGCCTTGAATCAGTCAGACTTCTATGTGCTATTGAATGCCATTTAAAGTTCAAACTTTTTCAAATGGATGTCAAAACTATATTCCTTAATGGATATCTTAATGAAAACGTCTACATTGAACAAACAAAGGACTTTGAGGATCCTCACAAGCTACATGGGGCGTACAAACTGAGGAAGGCTCTATACGATATCAAACAAGCCCTACGTGCTTGGTATGAAAGGTTATCTTCTCATCTTCTTACTCATGGTTATACTCATGGCTTTGTTGATAAAACTTTGTTTGTTAGGAAGGTTAAATCTCATGTTGTGATTGCTTAAGTGTAGTGGATAACATAGTTGTTAGGTCTACTTCTGATTCTCTTGTGAAACAATTTATCGATATATTGACAAGTGAATTTGAGATGAGCTTGGTTGGTGAATTAAACTACTTTCTTGGACTTCAAGTGAAACAAGAAATTGATGGCATCTTCATTTCTCAAACAAAGTATGCCAAGAACTTGGTGAAGAAGTTTGGCCTCGAAGGTTCAAAAGCGGTTAGATCTTCTATAAGCACATGTGCCAAAATTCACAAAGACTCAAGTGACAAGGATGTTGATCAGACTCTATATAGAAGCATGATTGGAAGTTTACTCTACCTGACTACTAGTTGACCAGACATCACATTTGTTGTTGGGGTGTGTGCATGGTTTCAAAGCTATCCTAAGGAGTCTCACTTACAAGCAATCAAGAGGGTCATCAAGTATATGAGTGGAACCACTGATTATGGACTTCAATATACTCATGAGACCAACACAAACCTGGTTGGGTACAGTGATGCTAATTGGGCTACGTGCATTGATGATCGAAAGAGTACTTCTAGGGGAGCTTTCTATGATAGGAACAATTTGGCTACTTGGCACAACAAAAAGCAAAATTGTGTCTCTTTATCAATTGTCGAGGCAAAATATATGGCTACCGGGAATTGTTGCACTCAACTGATGTGGATGAAACAAATGCTCAACGACTATGGTATATCTCAATCCATTTTTCTTGTTTATTGTTATAACATGAGTGCAATTGATATCTCTAAGAACCCTATCCAACATTCAAGAGCCAAACACATTAACATTAGGCATCACTTCTTTTGCAGGAGTTGTTACTTGGTCGTCTTCTATTGATTGATGTTCTATTAAGTGTGGGTTTTGAGTGAAATAAGTTATAGACTTGGGATATTTTGTTAAGGAAAGCTAAAGGGGGAGATTGTAAAGTCTAGCTTTAAGTGTTTGGCTTTCCTTGTCAAATATTGTAACTAAACCATTACACATGCTCAGTCTAGCTTTAGAATAAACTCAGATTATGGGTTGTCGTTGATGGAGTAAATGTTCAAGAAGTGGAACATTTAAACTCAAAGATTTGTTCATACATCTGCATTTCATATGTTTATTTATGTTGTATTTTGTCCTTATGACAAGTTGGTTGATGGAAATTCTGATTTCGTTGGGTAATTTGTTCCCTAGGGTTTCAGTTTGTTCTTAGGGGTTTTAGAACTTAGTTTAGAGTAAGAGTTGCTTTAAAGGCTTGAAGCTTGCATCTTCTCCATTTATGAACCCTAACTACCAAATGTCCCTTATGCATTAAACACCCAAATTGTATATTAGGATTGCATTGTTTTAAGATTTTACATTTATGTCTTGGTCTGGGTTTAAGCTTTAAATTCGTTTTAGACCAAGCTTTTGGATTCAAGTTAGATTCTTCCTTCAATTGTTTGACTAGAAAATCTGACTGGTCATTTGAATCCAGATTTCATGTGCATATCCTAAAGTCATATGACATCATTAATCGTGTTGATCTCGGTGCCACAAAAATATCTTGTGTTCAAGTTACGTTTATTGAGTTCAAGTTATGTTTATTGTGTCGCACATCTCACACACACATACATGGTACATATATTTGTTGAACATCTAAATGGTATGTGTTCACTATTATGCTCACTTGACATATTGATAACTTGCAACGAACTATAGCCTTGCTGATTAGGACAGTTTTTGGAAACTGAAATTAGTATTTGAATCTTAGATTTTTTTTACTATCAAATCTATTTTAGTTGACTAGCGGGCTTAACTAGTCAGTTTAGCGGATCGTAATTTTTATATACAGGTTATTCCACCTGGATACCAAAGTCCAGCAGATCGTAATTTTTACATACAGCCTTTAGGTTGACAAATGTTAAGCATCTAAATTTGTCTTGTGTCATTATGTGTATTGATTGCTTAGGCGAACAAAAATAGAGATGGAAACCAAAATCCTATGTCTGAAGAAGTGGTGGATGATACTAGATCTAATATGGTCACGGATGTTTTTTCATCTTTATCTGTTTCCTAGGGATTTTGATTGCACAACCTTAATTCCACTCTGGGAGGACCGACCGACCCGGGTTTTCATGAGCCTTGGAATCGAACCCCAAGCATCTTCTTTTTTTTATCTAAAAATGGAAAAAGAGGTGGTCTCCTCCTACTAAGCCCATTTTCAAACCCTTGGCAGAAGGACAAGATTCTCCACAGTATCGCTTGAATAACGATAATCAAAGTGAAAAGCCTTAACTAAAAAGCTTTAGCACGAGGAATGAAAAGCAGAAAAAGCTTATTCATGAAAAGAAAAATTTTAGTTGTCTTACATGAGACTTGGGATATTCCTCACTCTATGGCACCTTTTGCACATCTATTCCTCCCGCTTGTCCAAACGCGACGCCCCTTATCATTATCATCTACCACCCTTTCGTTCCTCCTGGCTATTCACACATGAAGATCGAGGTTCTTGGGTACATATATCTCTATGTTGTTCTTTGAAGTATTAAGAAGAACTACGTCTGAAGAAGTGGTCGGTGATACTGGATCTAATCTGGTCACTGGAAGAGAAATTCCACTCCTAATCCACAGTTATTTTTTCATCTTTGTCTATTTCCCAAGGATTTTGATAGCACAACCTTAATTCCACTTTGGGAGGACTGACTGGCCCTAACCGTTCAAACATCATTTTCAAAACCCTTATTGCCAATTACTCTTCTTTTCCTACTTGCTTTAAATTGTGTTTTTATAATTTTTTAATTTAAGACATCTCAATCTATTTTGTGGAAACCTTTATATGTATATTTGGTAGCTTTTTGGGAAAGAATTAATTTAAATTGTTAGGAATCAGAACCTAGATACATATTTGTGCAATCCTTGTGGGAATGATCTCATACTTGCTTTCTATACTATGTCATTGTTCATGTGCACATGTGAGTTTAAAACGTGTAATTAGTAGCTTAATATTTAGATCGCTAATTGCATAACATATGTCGACATGTTTCATTCTTGATTGCTCGCTTTGTTATGCAATGTGCATTTGTGGGACCCATGAATTGGCCTAGTCAGCTTCAACTAATTAACTAGTCAAACTTTGAATTATTGATACCGAAAGTTCAACGTCTACAAAATTCACTCTATCTATAAAAAAATGGCCAAGAAGAATTAGGTGGTTAATTTTCATTCACCACCATTTTCTTCCTAAATTGACCAATTAAGGAGCCTTGTGCAAGAGCTGGAGACAAATTAGCCCCCTTAAAGAGTCATGGGCTAGTGAATTTAACCAAGGCAAGATATGTCCCATTCGAAATTGATTTTCATCATTTGGAGTCAAATATTGCACTTGTTAGATATACTCATTTACCTATCAAATTAAAAATCAGATCCTTTTTCTCATATAGATAACTGCTTGCTTACCTTTACCGATAATAATTTTCCCTTCCTTTTACATATTTGATATTTCCCTATGGAATAATTGAGGTTCAAAACTAAAATGTGGTATGAACATTATCAAAGAAAATACACATGGATTACTAGATTCTTAAATATAATCCATTAAGAAACATCAACTTGGACGACAAACCGTGTCTCGTGCCAGGATAAAGGACCGTTGCTGCATCAAATTTCTTACTAGAAGACATAGTTGCTAATGATCTGCTTAATTAAACTTGTACACAAATTAAAGGTATAAAAGGAGATCAAGTTGTGGCTTTTCCATGAAATAATGTTGGCTATTTATAACATTGGGAGGGGAGGGCGTTAGGGTTCGTATCCTAGTAGTTCGGTTTCCACAAAATTACTGAGAAATTAAGTAACCTAACTGCGTAAGTGTTGATATTTAAGCTTGTTTGAATTATATGTTTCATAGATGAAGAATGAATGTACAACACAGAATATAAAGAGAAGGAAAAAAAGGGAACCGGTTCCTAGCAACCTTTCCCTAAACCACTCTAACAACTAGGTAAACCATAAAGCTATCAACATCCTTAAATCAAGGGATTACATCAAACAACTAAAAAAACCATATCAACAAGTCAACTAATCCTTAATTTGAGGGAGCCATTACAGGGACCATACCCATGACAACTAGGTCCATCAGTCATTCCATAAAGTCACATGCATGTCTTCCCATCACTCCAATATCTTCCAATAATTATACTTCAACACCCCCCTTCAAGCTGGATCGAGGGGATTTATCGATCTAAGCTTGCCTTAAAAACAATGAAACTAAGCTGATGGCAGTGCTTTAGTGAATAGGTCAGCCAGTTGATCATAACTGCAAGTGAACACAGTGTGAATAACCTAAGATTGAACTTGAGATTGAACAAAATGATCCACCTCTACATGCTTCGTTTTTTCATGAAAGACATGATTAGTAGCAATGTGCATGGCTGCCTGATTGTCACACATTAGAGGCATAAAGTTGGAATTATGAAATCCTAGATTAGATAGAAGTCCTTTGAGCCAAATAAGTTCACATGTAGTGGCTGCCATTGCACAATACTCAGCTTCTGCACTTGATCAAGCAATGACCTGTTGCTTCTTGCTTTTCCAGGTTACAATATTGCCTCCCACAAATGTGCAGTAACCTGTTGTGGAATTTCTATCAATGGCATTGCCTACCGAATCAACATCAATGTAACCACTTATGCTTGTAGATTGGTTATTTTGCATGAGAATTCCTCTCCAAATAGACCCTTTAAGATAATGAAGAATCTGTTTAACAATGTTGACATGATCAATGGTGGGAGAATGCATAAACTGACTAACTATCCCCACTACGTAGGTGATATCAGGACGAATGATGGTGAGGTAAATTAGCTTACCAACCAGTCTTTGATAATAACTCACATTATGAAGAGTTTCTCCATTCATGGTAAGCTTGAGTTTGTTGTCAATTAAAGAGGATGTAGGTTTGCAATCAAGAAGATTTGTCTCCTTGAGAAGATCGGTTACATATTTCCTTTGATTTAGGAACAACCCTTTGGAAAAAGTAGCCATTTCTATGCCAAGAAAATACTTTAGCCTTCCAAGATCCTTGATGGTGAAGGTCTCATGTAAAGATTGCTTCAAGGCTGCAATCTCAGTTGCACTGTTACCTATGATTATAAGATCATCCACATAGATAAGAACCATTAACCTTCTTCTTGTGCCAGTTCGAACAAATAGAAAGGAATCTGCATTACTCCTAAGAAAAGAAGCCTTTTCCAAAACTAAGCTAAGCTTGGCATACCAAGTTCTTGGAGATTGCTTTAGACCGTAAATAGCCTTGCGAAGCTTGCATACCATACCATTTTGAGCTTGACCATAACCTGATGGTGGTTGCATGTACACTTTCTCTTGTAATTCTCCATGGAGAAATGCATTTTTTACATCCATTTGATACAATGACTATCCACGATTAATGCCACAAATAAAAGAACTTTAACAATGTTCATCTTGGCTACTAGAGCAAAGGTTTCTTTGTAATCCATTCCAAAGGTCTGAGTGAATCCACATGCAACGAGTCTGGCTTTGTGCATTTTGATTGAGCCATCAGCCTTTAATTCACTTTGAATATCCACTTGCTGCCAACAACTTTCTTGTCAGGTGGTAAATGAACAAGACTCTAGGTTTTGTTGTCACTCAAGGCTTGTAATTCCTCCGCCATTGCCTTGAGGCATAAGTAAAATAGTCCACCAACTTGGCTAGTGGCTTTCTTGTTCGAACGAGATATCTTCTAGCCTCTTGAGGTGTGGTTCATTGTGAAGGGGATGAGCTTGCTTGCACTTCACTTGTATGCTCACTAATGGTTTGAGTGTGTAATTGGCCCGCACTTGAAATCAAGTCAGCTTGAACTTCTTCAATGTTTTGACAATTAGAGAGGTGATCATCTTTTAGTGTGTCATGATCAATGACTCTTGGTAAGGGAAACAAATCACTCAAGGTTTCACTTTCATCATCATGAGTCCCTTTTCTTTTATAGTAGGGTATTGTTTCATTAAAACGAACATCCTTGGACACAATACACTTTTTCGTGATAAGATCAACGCATTTGTATCCCTTATGAGTTGGTGAGTATCCAACAAAGATACACTTCACTGCGCTCGCTTCCAACATGTCACGATTAGGTGCTTGCAAATGAACAAAGCAACTACAACCAAAAGTTATAAAATGTGCCAAGTTGACTGCCTTATTGTGTAGGGTTTCATGCAGCATTCCCATGACCCTTGGGTTGCAAATATGCAGCAAATTCGTTTATGGGAGTCATAGGACTTGCAGTGAAGTCCATGAGGTGAAGTTTGTTGCATGTTTACTCTTGAAGTGTTTTGAAGAAATCATCTTCCCTTCTTTGGTGAATTTAGGCTTCAACTCAGGATGAAGAATGCAGCACCTTTCCTCCACATGACCAACACCATCACAATAGGTACACTTAAGATGAGTATTCTTACCCTTGTATACCTTTGGTTTGCAGCATAGGCTTGAGCTGCAGTTGGCCTTGAACTAATCTCACTATTCATAGCTTTCTTTCTAGCTTCTTCACGTTAGACAATAGAACACAAACTCTTGAAGGTTGGCAGTTCTTGGCTCATAAATATGTGGCTTCTGAGATCTTCATACTCAGAACTTAAGCTTCCCAAAAGTTGGTATATCTTGTCTTCCTCACCTCTCTTTAGTAAGATAGTTGCATCTATGGTGTGTGGAAGATACACATCCAGTTCATTCCACATAGTTTTGAGGCTACAAAGATGTTGCACAAAGGACTTCCCTTCTTGTTGAACGCTTGCAATGTCTTTCTTCAGTTGAAACACTCTTGCATAATTGTTTTGGTTTCTATACATGTCCTTCACTGAGTTCCACAAATCTCGTGAGGACTCTGACTAACTGAAAATTTATGCGACATGCTTCTCCATAGTATTGAGAAGTAAGGACATGATGAGCTAATCCTTGTTTACCCAAGCCTCATAAGTTCGTGAGGTGATTTTAGGAGCTTCGATGCTTCCATTTACAATGCCAAGCTTTCCTTTCCCTCATAGGGCAAGTGAAATTGCATGAGACCACGGTAGGTAGTTGTACTCATTCAGCAAGGCTGAACATAAACACTGAATTGTGTTAACATCAATTTCTGACAAATTTGAAGGAGAGGTGTGCGAGATGTCACCCTCAATATTTACTGAATCTTCTTCAGCCATGGCTTAAGGTTGAAGGAAAGATGTAGAGGAAAGAAAAATGACCAGAGGCAGGTTACAAAACTTGCTCTAAACCACTCTAACAACTAGGTAAACCCTAAAGCTATCAACATCCTATCAACATGCTTAAATCAAGGGATTACATCAAATAACAAAAAAACCATATCAACAAGTCAACTAATTCTTAATTTGAGGGAGCCATTACGGGTACCATACCCATGACAACTAGGTCCATCAGTCATTCCATAAAGTCCTTTGCGTATCTTCCCATCACTCCAATATCTTCCAATAATTATACTTCAACAATAAGTAAAGACAATTTATTTGTTTAATTTTAAGTCCTTTTTTTCCTAAATGTATCCTTAACGCGGAGTAATCTGATGAGCTGAGAAGCGGTGGGCGTTTGAAAAAAATCTTTGAAGGTTGACCGCATGCGTGCCTGTGATTGCTTTGGAGCATTTCTCTTCGTGAATCACACACATTCCTTGAAACAACAACAACAAAGCCTTTTCCCACTAAGTGGGGTCGGCTATATGAATCCTAGAACGCCATTGCGCTCGGTTTTGTGTCATGTCCTCCGTTAGATCCAAGTAATCAAGTCTTTTCTTAGGGTCTCTTCCAAAGTTTTCCTAGGTCTTCCTCTACCCCTTCGGCCCTGAACTTCTGTCCCGTAGTCACATTTTCGAACCGGAGCGTCAGTAGGCCTTCTTTGCACATGTCCAAACCACCGGAACCGATTTTCTCTCATATTTCCTTCAATTTTGGCTACTCCTACTTTACCTTGGATATCCTCATTCCCAATCTTATCCTTTCTCGTGAGCCCATACATCCCACGAAGCATCCTCATCTCCGCTACACCCATTTTGTGTACGTGTTGATGCTTCACCGCCCAACATTCTGTGCCATACAACATCGTTGGCCTTATTGCCGTCCTATAAAATTTTTCCTTGAGCTTCAGTGGCCTACGACGATCACACAACACGCCGGATACACTCTTACACTTCATCCATCCAACTTGTATTCTATGGTTGAGATCTCCAGCTAATTCTCCGTTCTCTTGCAAGATAGATCCTAGGTAGCGAAAACGGTCACTTTTTGTGATCTTCGCTAGATTGCTCCGGTCATTAGTGTGGATAAGTATATAAATGGATAGAGATAGGAAAGCAAACACAAGATGTACGTGATTCACCCAGATTGGCTACGTCCACGGAATAGAGGAGTTCTCATTAAGTGTGAAGGGTTTACACAAGTACATAGGTTCAAGCTCTCCTTTAGGGAGTACAAGTGAATGATTTAGTACAAATGACTTTAGGAAATATTGTGGGAGAATGATCTCGTAACCACGAAACTTCTAAGTCCCGGAGTGTGGTATCGGCTTGACTTTCCTTATCTGTCTCATAGGTAAATGTGGAATCTTCTCTGGAAGTACTCTTCTTCCATCCAGGGGTGGTATCTGTAACTGGTGGAGATGCACAAGGTAATGTATCAATGTCACTTGAAGCTTACTTGTAGTTTTAGTTTCAGGCTTGGTCAAGCGCGATACAAACCATGTAGTAGGAGTCCCCCAAGTCGCCGAGCTAGGGGATCTGCTGAAAGAGGTAACAGACAAGGTAAGCAATCAGAGCTCCGGCTGATTGTTCACATTCTCCCTATCTTGCAGGCAGCATGAAGGATAAAGAGAAGAAAAATGAGAAGAGATGATATGGGATACTTTTGCTTTTGAAGAAGTAACTTTCCACAGGCTTATTCTTGAACTGGGCTGGAGGGTTTTCTGGTTTCCTCCAAAGTATAAGGCCGACTGAAGAATTTGAGGGTCAAAACAAGTCCATCAAATCTAGAGTATGTTCGACCCTGCTGATATGGGGTACTTTTTCTTTTGACAGAGTAGTGGATGTATCGGCACGTGTGCTGTTACGCTGTGTCTTGCTTGTTGCCCTATCTGTTGCGGCAGATGCGGTACTTCCTTGTTGAGCAGATGCCAGGGTAAGGGGTTCCAGGCAGTCAGTTCCTGGCTGGAAGCTTGATTCCAAGTGCTGCTGACTGATTGCTCTCTCTTTCTCCTTGCAGGTAAGAACAAGGCCAAAGGAAAAGACAGGGAAAAAGCATGATATGGGATACTCTTGCTTTTAAACCCTGATGATATGAGATATTCTTGCTCTAGTATAGCTTGTTTACAGAGGTATTATCGGGGGGAAAGAAAGCTGAATATTTCGAAAGGCTTCGTTGGGAGCCCTCTCAGATCAGAATAAGGGTTGAGCAGCATTTTTGCAGGTCTGCAGGTCTTCCGTTGGGGATGGAGGTCGACATATATAGAAGTCTCCCTAACATCAAAGTAATAATGCTATTCCTTTACCCTGCTTGGTCATAGCACGGTAGTGGGAGCTGCCAGCTTCACAAGTTTTAACTCTGTCAGAGCACTTTGAAAAAGTGGTCTGTGGTATCTGGAAAGCTGATGTTGCGTGTGAAGTTACAGACAAGCTTTATCCAAGGAGATCCGGCTCTTGAAGTTGGGAAAGTGGTGCCTTTTCGGTTTTCGAACAAGCAATCCTGTCGGGGATCTGGCTGGCTCTCGAGATTCGGAGAACGATGCTCTTTCGATTTTTGAGAAAAGTCATGCTGGGGGTCTGGCTCTCGAGATTCGAGAACGAGGTGTTTGGGGAGTTTTGGAGAATGTAATCATGTTGGGAGATATCTTCTCGATTTGTAGGAAGGTTGGGTTTTCGAATATGAGTAAAGGTTGGGCATGTTTGCTAGTCTACCTTGCCACGAAGCACAGAGGTTGACACACAGGGACTTTCCAATTATCCAGCAGTGGTACTGTTCCTTTACCCTCTCTTCGATTTTTGAGAAAGTAATCATGTTAGCAGTCTGGCTCTCGAGATTCGGAGGGCGGTGCCTCTTCGATTTTGGAGCAAGCAATCTTTGTTGGGGCAAAGTTTTCGGAATGTGAGTAAAGGTTGGGCATGTTTTGCTAGTCTACCTTGCCACGAAGCACAGAGGATGACACACACAGGGACTTTCAAATTATCCAGCAGTGGTTACTGTTCCTTTACCCTCTCTTTCGATTTTTGAGAAAAGTAATCATGTTGGGAGTCTGGCTCTCGAGATTCGGAGGGCGATGCCTCTTCGATTTTGGGGCAAGCAATCTTGTTGGGAGTTTTTTCTCGAATGTGAGTAAAGGTTGGGCATGTTTGCTAGTCTACCTTGCCA